TATATATAAAAAATAAAAAAAAAAAAAAAAAAAAAAAAAAAAAGGAAAAAGTTACTTCACACCTAATTCACTATACTGTTATCTCAGTAGTGATCATTCCACCGTTAAATGACATTTGGAATTAAACAGATGGTCAATCAGACCAGTTGTGATCATGCTTGGCTCTCCAGGTGGTTGTGTGTTATCAGATGTGGTGTTTATGACTCTGACAAGAACCTGGACTAAATGAATGGATACCATAATTGAAAGTTTTTTGCTTGGAATTTGAATCTTGTTGGCTCAGTTGATGAAGCTTTAGCATTGGGCATCAATGAGAACCAGAGTCTTGGGCTTGAGACTGTATATTTCTTAACATTTTGAGTTAGACACATTACTTATGCCAAGTCTCCTCTTTTAAGAATTTATCATGTTTTTAATAATGTTAATTAATGTTTACTTTTAGCATCTTCAGCGTAGAAATGTTTCAGATAAACTACAAGGACTAGTAACACTAATAAAGTGTTTATCAATGTTAGGAAATTATATATATTTCACTGATGAAACTGACTGTCAATTTTTACAGTTCATGAAACTGTTAAAAATTAGATTAATGGGGCTTCTTAATACAAGCTTGTGATCAAGTTCAATTATCGATATAGATCAGAGCTACAAAACTAATGAATATAATATATTGTTCTTACATTCTTAGTTACGATTACAATGTATTGCTTTGTCAATCGGGTGACTCAACTGCTAACAATGTTTTAGTATGTAATCCCAATAAAGTCACACAAGGTTTGGCCAGCTTAGGAGATTTAGGTTAGTTCTAAATCCATAAATTTAAAGGTTAGTTCTAAATCAATAAATTTATAGGTTAGTCCTAAATCAATAAATTTATAGGTTAGTGCTAAATCCATAAATTTATAGGTTAGTCCTAAATCAATAGATTTATAGGTTAGTGCTAAATCAATAGATTTAGCTAACAATGCCAAATAGCACTTATAATAAAAATATATACCAATAAAAAATATACATATATTTAACATTTCATATTACAGAACACATTTAACAGAACATTTTAGGACACACAGATGTTGTAAAGTATTTTCATACCACCCATGTACCAACAGTTCATATAAACCTAAATTTCTTAAGCTCTTTTCTTTTTTCTACATATAATTAAAATAGCCCATGATAAAAATAAAAACACAAATGTACCAGTGTTTATATAAATATGAACTAAATAATATAAATTCCTTAGAATGGTTAAGATTCTTATTTATTGACAAGTTTGATGTTATAAATATAGAGAAGCAACGTGTAACTTCTATATATTCTATCGTTCCACACACAAGCCGTCTCTGTGTATCTTTCATTTCCTGCCAGAAACTCTCTGCTAGTCAGTTATACACTAACCTTATTATATCTTCGAACAAGGTAGAGGTTGTAAATACACCGATGGTATAAGGAATTTAAATTTTCAACAAGAATGACACTTTAAACTGCAGATATGAGATAAATAGCCAGGTCAGAGAACCACAGGAGTTCAGATATGGACATTCTTGATTTTGTACCACTGACCGGAGGGAAGGCAGCAACACTAACCATCGTCAGAGACTTGTCTGTGTGTGTTTGACATAGAATGGGATTGACTGTCACTTTTATGATGCATCCACAGATACTTTTAGTCCCAGTCCAGCACATTAAGTATTAGGCTACATCCAATCCAAAACAGTAAAAGTTTATATCTGCACTGTATTTGAATATCTTTAAGGAACAGTTTTCAGAGAGGGATTTATTATATTTTTGATGTTATAAATGTGTAGTTAATGAACTTAACTCTATGATGATGAAAAAGTTTCTGTTGAGAATGAATTTTTTATTAAACTTACTTAAAATAAATAGTGTTAGCATACAGGTAACATACTAAAAAGAACATAGTGTGGATATAGTAGCTTACTTGATATCACCTAATCCTATCTTTACTGCCATCCTCGATAGCTTCATCGTTTTTCGTCCATAAGAAATAAAACCCATAACAAAACATCCAGAATATATTTTTTTACTCTCAGAAAATGAGTTTCTAATAAATTTCATAATACCAAACAAAATAAGAAAAAGTTTATTAAAGTTATATGGCTGTTAGGTAAATATCTACCAAAATGTACCAACAGATAGAAATTTAATTAATATTCTAAATACATATACAAAATCAATAACCTTACAACCTACGAGTATATTAGCAATTATATATATAAAGTATAGATGGATAAAAAAATAAAGATATTTTGAAAACTTAACATATCCTAACAATAAATCTTGCTCCAATCCCAAATCTTCGATATTAAGTTTACAGGTAGACAAAGCAACTGATGACTGAACACAATGAAAAAACTTGCAGTCCAAGTTGAACGGTATCATTTAACAGGAAGTGCAAGACAAAGCATTTGGGTTATCATAATATGGATCATACTTTTAATATCGATGGCAACCCACTCAATAGTAACAGATGAAAAGGATCTTGGCTGAGCGTTGAATACGTCACTATTGACATCAAGGCATTGTTATGTTGCTAGTAGTAAAGCTAAATGAATTCTAGGATATACTTACAGTCAAAAGATGTAATTATTTCTATACAAATCACTCTCAAATTCTTAGTTGGAATAGCACGTACAGTTATCTAAGAAAGGATGTTTAGTGATTTATCGGAAAAGGTTAAACAAGGGCTACTAGGATAACTCTAGGGATGGAAGAGGTATCTTATAGGATGATAAAACAAGGGCTACTAGGATAACTCTAGGGATGGAAGAGGTATCTTATAGGATGATAAAACAAGG